TTAGATAGTTAATTTTTTGTAAATTGCTAAAATTCTAATAAATTAGTGTGAGGTTATCAAAAGGAAAAAAAAAAGAAGTTTTTAATAAAGCTATATAAAAAAAACAAAATAATTACAATAACTTTTTCTGACAATCACTTGGACCAAAATTCTTACTAATAGAAAAAAACAGAAAAATTTGTTAGAGTTGTGGTTTAATGGTGGTTTGTCTAAAGGTTAACTTTTTGTATAAGAGACTTCTCTACAAGGACATTTGACATGCAAGTCAAGAGTATTATTGTACAAGATAACTAGCAGGCGGTGCTTTTGTATAAAAAATCTTAATAAAGTGTGGGTAGTAAAGCCCAACTTTGTTAATGAAGCTATTAGACTGTTACTTTAAAGAAAAATACAAAAGAAGCAACAAATTTCTACATTGCTTTTAAGTTGCACTTCTTTTTCTGTCTCAAGTGGCTTCTCTATTACTTATTTTCAACTTCTTGTCATTCTTTCAAAAATTTTGAAAAAAAGTGAAAATTTGGCTTATCTCCTTTAAAAGATTAGCATTGTTTATATCCAAATCTAGATGGACTTGGTATATTACAACTAATATATTTTATTTACTTAGAAAATATAGTGTTATTCTACATGATTTAAATCAGGGTTTCAGGTTAAAAAGGTATCTGAATTTGGCTAGTAGTTAAAAAGTATACATTAATTAGTAATCCACCAGTCAACTAGAGAATAATCATAGTAAAATGTGACTCAAATTATTTATAAAAATTGGAGGTCTCCAAATATGGTATATGCATATCTAAACCTTTTTTTTATACTAAGTTAATTATTTTTTTAACTTAAAAGACTTTTGCAAAGCTTGTTAAAACACATCTAATAGTGGTTAAAGCATCAAAATCAGCTTAGTAGGTGCCAAGATATCTTTAAAAAATATTTCTTTTATTATATAAACTTCTTTGCAAACAATAGTATTGTTTGCAAAGAAGTTTATATAACAAAAGAACCATTTTTTAAAGATATCTTGGCACCCACCAAGCCAATTTTGACACTCTAACTACTATTAGATATGTTTTGACAAGCTCTGCAAAAGTCTTTTAAGTTAAAAAAGTAATTAACTTAGTATAAACAAAAGTTTTAAATGCACATATGCCACATTTGGAGATCTCCAATTTTTATAAATAATTTAAGTCACATTTTACTATAATCATTCTCTAGTTGACTGGTGGATCACCAATTAAGGCTTTGCTTTAGAATTAGAATATACAATGGTTGTAGTTGTTATAAAATTTTTATTATAACTTGGCATAGATTATAACAGTGCATTTTTCTTTTTTATGGCAACCTTTGGGTTGCTTGACTACTTTTTAATAAAGGTAGCACCCCACTTTGTTAGCCTTTATAGCTTTTTTCTTTGTTTTTCTTTTTTTATATATTTTTTTCATCTTTTTTTTCCTTTAAAATTTTCTTTTTATTTATTTTGGTTTGTTATTAAATATAGTTTTCTTTTTGTTTCATAATTGGTAGTTTTGTAGTATTAGTATAAAATCACTACTTTCTTTTGCTCCCAGTAAAGAAAAAAGAATTAAAAGGATTAGCTCTCAATAGACTGACAAGGTCTATTCAACTTGTATACAAGATAGTGTGACAAGTCGCTTATAAGCATGGTTTCTGCAGCCGGGAGATATCAAGCTTGCTATTTAAAAGCTTAGTTTAGTTGGAATAGTTTATCATTATTGATTAAATAAATAAAGTGTTTTATTTAAGCTTTGACAATACTATCAAAAAGTTAAAAAAAAATAAAAATAAAAAAAATAAAGCTATATAAAATTAATTTTTTGGTTTTCATAATATAAAAAAAAAAAGACCCAACAGGCTAGACTTTTATTTAAAAATTTTTAAAATTTTTAATTATAAAATTTAAATTTTAATTTTAAAAAATAATAACCTAGCATTATACTGTAGTATTAAATAAAGTAATAATCTATCTATCTGGACTTTATTTAAAAAATTTTATAAAATTTTTTAAAAAATTTTTTTAAAATCCCATTGGCTATTAAACTATATAAAAAAATTTTTTTAAAAAATTTTTAAAATATGATCTGGCCGGGTTATAAGAACCAAAAAATTAAGTTTATATGGCCTAAGTAAATATTTTTTCAGTTCTAAGTAAACTTGTAGAGAAGATTTTTCTGGTTCTAATAGTGGTTAAATCATCAAAATTAGCTTAGTGGATCCCAAAATATTTGGGGTTAAAGGTGCGAACATAAAAACTATAAATTTACTATTATACAAAGTATTATAGTCTATAATACTTATATTCATGCTTTTAACCCCAAATATCTTGGGATCCACAGACTAATTTTAATGATTTAACCACTATTAGAACTAAAAAAATCTTCTCTACAACTTTACTTAGAGCTAGAAGAAAGGTTTACTTATTAAAAACTTCTTTAATTTTTAAAAAACTAACTTTAGCTTTAATTATTTTAATTTTAACCCTAAAGCTAATAAGTAAATCTTTTTTTTAATTCTAAGTAAAGTTGTAGAGAAGATTTTTCTAGTTTCAATAGTGGTTAGATCATTAAAATTGGCCTGGTGGATCCCAAGATATTTGGGTTAAAGATGTAAATAATAGTGAATTTGTAGATCTTTATATTCATACCTTTAACCCCAAATATTTTGGGATTTACTAAGCTGATTTTGATTACTTAGAGCTGGAAAAAATGGTTACTTATTAGTTTTAGTTTTAGGTTAGGATTAAAGGTTAGGGTTAGTGTTAGGGTTAAAGGTTAGAGTTAGTGTTAAAGTTATAAGTTTTTTATATTATTATCTAAAAATAGAAAATCTTGTATAACCATGGTGAAAATAGCAAATTACTATGGTAAAAATAGTAACTCTCTTAATATATATACAAATGCATATTTAAATTGAAGTTTAATAAAGTTTTATACAAAAGATTATTTTGCAATTATTGTTTATAATTACCTATTAGATAACTTACTTGTTTTCATCTGGGTGGCCAAAACTCTATCTAGGTTACCTATTTATCTGCAGATAAGCTGAGTAATACCTACTTGGGTTTAATTACTAGTTAATTAACATAGTTATAAGTTAAATTTTTGTAAATGTAATAAACTATAATCTGACTCTTTTTTTAGTAGGTTCTTAAAAGTCTGTAGCCAAAAATCTTTAAATCACTTGCTATGTTTACTTTTTTTAATATGACCTACTTGAAGGTTTTATCTTTGTATTTTTAAATAATATATTAGTTTAATTATGATTATATCATAATCATAATTGTAATTCTAATTGTAAACTAATATTAATAGTACATTAACAAATTTTTACTTAAAAAATTTTAAAAAATTTAAATTGGTGAAGATTTTACCTTTATAAGTGCTTCACTTTATAGTTATTAGTAAATATTTTGACTTTTTTATTTTTTTTATTTTTTGTGTCAGATTTTCTACTAGCCAAATGAATTGATAATCTTTTGTATTAAAGATTATAGCAAAAAAACAACAAAAGAATTTTATTTAAATTTTTTTTTAGATTTAGCAGATTGTGATATCACAGATTACTAATCAGTATTTATTAAAGCATTTTACTATTTATTGTTATTATATTCTTTATATATAAAGATTGCTCTATTATTTTTCTCTGAAACAATAAACTTGCTAACTATACTTGTCAATTAACTAATCATTTTTTTTATCTGTGGACTATCCGGTAAGCTTTGAGTATATTGTATTTGTGGTGAAGGTACACTTTGACAATCACAAAAGTTGTAATCTTCCACTATTTTAGTGACACATTCTAATGATGGGTAACGCAACCACGTGATGCTAATTGTCACATGCTATTATTTATAAAAAATCAACAATCTATTTTGATTTTTTATAAGTACAGTAATAGAATGTGACAATTAGCATCACATGGTTGTGCTACTAATGCGAAATATAAATGAAAGATGTTGTTTGCTATTTTTATTGCAAATTTAAGATGAAATACATAGTATATATTTACCTCTAACGCAGTAAAGTGTCAGATATTTGATTCTAATAGAGGAATAGTCGTTTTGTCATTGACCAGTCGAGAAGTTAGGAATGTCTATGATCTATAGAGACTATCAAAGTTTAAATCTATAATAAAGGATTCAACGAGACCATCTAAAGGCATTATTTAGTATACTTAATTAAAGTTAAATTAAGCTTTATATTGATTACAAGCATATATACCTTGATTCATTAGCAGCATTGTTTCATTAGAACCGCTTTTCGTCGTTAATATTGATTTATTGATTTGCGTGCCTGTAACTGAATGTTTAATTTATCTTTTTTTTTTTTGCAGAGATGTAGATCCGGAAGGCTTAATTTCTGAGTTTAAAATAACAGGGGGAAACGTTGAAACGTTACAAAATCATTACACAATTGATAAAAATTTTTTTATATTATTTTACAATACTTTTTTGGAAGGCTCGCTTGACTTATCTTTTATATGAATATTGAAAATGGTTACACAAACATGAAGCTTTCACTTTGCTTTACAACATATTTTTTGAATCCAACGGTTTTGTCTTTTTTGTAAATTTCGCAATTTGATTGGTTGACTAATCCCATAGTGATATTTGACTAGTCAATACAATGAGTGATCTGTGTAACGGAGAATGAAAATCATATTTATATTTGGACATTTCCTCCTGTTCTTTAAAATAGCTATTTCATTTACGAGACAAGAAAAAGTCTGGCTTTGTTGAAGAACCAGATATCGAACAATTTAACTGAATATCGTATTCTTTATGTGTATTATTATTAACAAATAACAGTCGTATTATTGGATGCAACAATATAAAACAATATTTATTCTCTGATGTTTTGGTTGGTGCAATATCCGGTACACTACTAAATCTGTTATAGATAAAAAGTTAAACAAATCAACCTCAGTTTTATACATGTTATAGGATAAAAACTTACATTTCATTAAAAATTCTAGAAACACAGCTGGTCTCAAAATTGCTTAAAGATAAAAAAAACATTGTTACCCAAAATATCAGCCAATGCATTCCATAAAGAGGATAAAACTTCTGATAGCAGTACTGGATCAGTTGGCAAATAAGGATTCTTGCACATAATCATTTGCCATTCTCGTTTAGTGAAAATATGAGTAGGATAAGAACAGGAAAAAGTCAAAATTATTATTGATAAAAGTACTCTATCAACAATAAATAGAAATTGTTAACATAAACATTACAGCATTATCCAATATTGTTACGTTCACAAATATTTACAAAATTTCGGTAAAATCACTCCATTTCAGTCCTTTAGCCTTTGCTTTCTCAAGTGATTCTATCTGGAATTTTTTGAATCTCTGCAATGCATTTATTGCACCAACTTCCCACTAAAAGTGAAAAATAAACTGTTAAAACATGCAGAGTAAAGCATTAGAGTCTTGGTATAAGGCATACCTCCTTTGTTCACTCCTTTAATATTTTAGTTTCAATACTCGTAAAGTTAAACTTTATATCTTCATCTTCAGGCACTATACAAGAATAAGACAATTCTGAAGAAGTTTTGCTATTATCTGTTTTTGTCTAAACATATAAAATATATTTATATATAAGTTTTATGTTCTCTTAGCTTTTATCACCCTACCTTTTTATGTTCCAACAATTCAGTTTTTTCACTTAATATATCCTGTGAATATATGTATTCAGTAAGTTATTAGTAAGAAAAAGCATTAGAGTAATCATAAATATATCCAGTTGTTTGACTGTTACAAACAATTCAAACTTTGATAACTAAAAAAATTACTATTATACCTCACCATCTCAGTTAGTAGTTGCATTGCTTGAATCTTTTTCCTGTTCAACCAGATTATTGTCTGCATCTACAAATATTTCTCCATCGCCCGACTTTTGCTTCAAAACTATTACTCTACATAATAGAGAAAGGTTTAAATATATGTAACATAATATTAGTAATATTAAATTACAAATCTGGTCCGTTTAATCTTAGGACCGTCCTGGACTCGAATTCTTAAATCATGTGAAAACACAATACATTCATACAGGATTCCAGATCCTGAATTAGATCTTCTGAAAGAGTTCATCCAATCAATTTAATTCTGTATTGTTAAATGATTTGATCCAGGATCTAGATCCTACATAAATGTATTATGTTTCACGTGATTTAAGGACTGAATCCTTACCAATCCCTGAAAGGATCTGCCAGGATCAGTTAAGACTCGATCCCAAAGGACCAATTAACATTCCTACATATTATAGATGTTTAATTGAATTACCAGGTTTGCTAGTTGTTGCATTGTTCGAATCTTGTTCGGATACATAAAACGGATTATTTTCTGCATCTACGAATATTTCTCCTCCTGACTTCCACTTCAAAACTATTATTCCACTTAATAGCGATAGAGAAAAGTTTAAATATATAATACATAACATAAGGCCACGAAATGTTAATTTTTCGTTTTTTAAAAAAAAATTTTTTTTTAAGCTCCAATTATTCCATATGGTATCACCGATAGTCTATCTATAAAAAAAATAATCCGACCCACCAACTAGGATTTCGTCAAAACGAAAAATTAACTTTGTGTAGCCTAATATAGATGTTTTTGAGTGCATTATCAGAATTACCAGGTTTGTTAGTTGTTGCATTGTTCGAATCTCTTTCTTGTTCGGATTAGTAATGCCTGACGAAACCATGTGATGCTAATTATCACGCGCTTATACGGTACTTATAAAAAATCAAAATAGATTGTTGATTTTTATATATTGTACCACGTGACAATTAGCATCACATGGTTTCGTCAGGCATCACTAGTTCGATACGTAAAATGGATTATTCTCCGCATCAACAACTATTTTTCATTCCACATAATGGAGAATAGTTTAACCATATAATACATAACATAATATAGGTAAGTGTATTTGAATGAATTACCAGGTTTTTAGTCTCACCCGTTTCCTTAACCGGCGTTTTTTTCAACATCTCTATAATGTTCGAGCGAGTTTTCCAAAAACTCTTACTTTGTCGGAATTTGCAGACTTCTAAATGCGTAGTAATAAAAAGAAAGACTGTTAACCTTTGGACGCAAACCAAAAGATCAAGTAGACTTCTAAATATAGAAAAAAAGGGAGGCCAAATATCATGTAAACTTCTAAATGTGTAGTAATATAAAGAAATAAAAAGGAAGCCCTGAGGACGCAACCCCAGGAGTTCAGTCGCAGCCTAGCACTTTCAGCGTTTGTGACGGGAGAACATAGGCGCGCTTGCCCTAGACTCGACTAGACCAAACATTCGGACTCGACCTAGCCATCTGTGGTCCCGAAACAAAACTAATAAAAAAAATAAATAAATAAAAAAAAGGCCGAGAAGTGCCTCGAGGACGCAACCTAGCACTTTCAGCGTTTGTGGCCCTAGACTCGACTAGACCAAACATTCGGACCCGACCTAGCCATCTGTGGTCCCGAAACAAAACTAATAAAATAAATAAATAAATAAAAAAAGGCCGAGAAGTGCCCCGAGGACGCAACCTAGCACTTTCAGCGTTTGTGACGGGAGAACATAGGCGCGCTTGCCCTAGACTCGACTAGACCAAACATTTGGACTCAACCTAGCCATCTGTGGTCCCGAAACAGAACTAATAAAAAAAAATAAATAAATAAAAAAAGGCCAAGAAGTGCCCCAAGGACGCAACCCCAGGAGTTCAGACGCAGCCTAGCACTTTCAGCGTTTGTGACGGGAGAACATAGGCACGCTTGCCCTAGACCCGACTAGACCAAACATTCGGACTCGACCTAGCCATCTGTGGTCCCGAAACAAAACTAATAAAAAAAAAGTGTAGTAATAAAAAGGAGGCCGAGAAGTGCCCTGAGGACGCAACCCCAGGAGTTCAGACGTAGCCTAGCACTTTCAGCGTTTGTGAGGAGAGAACATAGGCGTGCTTGCCCTAGACTCGACTAGATCAAACAATTCGGACTCGACTAGACCAAACAATTCGGACTCGACCTAGCCTTCTGTGGCCCCGAAACAAAATTAATAAAAAAAAAAGTCTAACCTTGAATGACTTCAAACAACTCTCGGCCGTTTGTTGAATTAACTCATAGTTGTTGTAAGGCTCCAGTAATTGAGGATTTTTATAATTTCTTCAAGGCAAATATTGTATCTCCTGTTCTCCTCTTCTTTGTCACCGAAATCGCCTGTATATTGTACTATGCTCCATTGTAAAAATCCTATCAATTCCCATTCTACATCTTTTTGAAAGTAAGGAAGCCTTTGCCTCCAGCGGGTGGTTTCATCAGCCATTAAAGAAAAATTGTTCGTGCTATGGAATAAGTCTATTCGATTAATAATGTGCCAAATAAGACGCGACAAACAATTGTAATAAATGAAAATTGATTATTGTTTGTCGCGTCTTATTCTTGACTCCGATCACTATGTAAATTTTGTGATTATTGCGAATTTGTACTACACTTGCGATCAGATGATTCAGTTTTATCATCAGATGATTCAATTTTATCACAAAATTTTGCTATTACCTCTCTTCTGTACTTGCAATCGTTAATTGAGTAGAGGTAAATGAGCAGAAGGTAAATCAACACAATCGGCATTTTAATTTTAAAACTAGATAAATTTTATACTAAATTTTCTGTTATTTGTGGTTTTTAAAAGGGTATTAGGTTTTCAGACTCTTCAAACACCAATATAATTCTTTAAAAAGGTATTAGGTGTTCAATTATATAATTGTTTTTTCTATTATTGAGAATTACAGAATTGCTAACATATATAATACATTTTATATTGCAGAATTTGTCGTATATAATCAAACTGTGGTAGCCTTAATCGCTGGTGCACCATATTGTTGTATAAAATTTTTTTGCTAGTCTAAATTCGTGTATTTTCATAGTAACGATTGGTTAAAAGTAACTTGTATTCTGCCTAGATATTTAATTAGTAAAAAAGGTATTGGCTTTCACTATTGTTAGGGTTGTTTGCATAACAAATTACAATATATACAATTAGGAGTTTTTCTAATACATTCTCTAATATATTTATTATCTTTTATTTCATATTTAGAGCATTCTCAAGCACATTAACTAATGGGTCAAAAATGTATTGGAATATGTCGGAAATTAAGTATTTTTAATCGATCAAACGTCCTTGTTATGGTTTTTAATATTGTTAGGGTTATTTACATAACAAATTAAAATATATATCGTACGATTGAGAATTTTTTAATAATCTAACGTATTTATTTATTTTATTTCATATTTTAAGGCATTCTTAAGCGCTTCAATTAATAGATCAAAGGGTGTTCTTAAGCGCCTAAATCAATTGATCGAAATAAAATTTTAAATAGTCAGGCCAAAAAAATTGAACAAGTGAGTTGCCGCTTCACTGAAAAAAGGTTGAAGGTGCAGACCATTTTTTTTTTCATAGTTAACGATAATTGGCCAAAACTATTTATTAATAGAGTAAAAAAAAGGTTGCTCAAACACTTTACTTTATGTCATGGTTCTTTAGTGAAATTATAATCGTCAAAAAATTATTGTATTACTTATCACTAATAAAAAATTCTAGGAAAATCAAAGAGCAAAACTCGTTATTTCCTAACTTTACGCCAATAATAATTTTATATATTCATTTTATTTTTTTATTAAAAATTTTTAGGGAACAAATATTTCTACACCCTTGTAAATTATATAGTTATGAAATTATATCAATATTGCGATGTGTGATTCAAACACACCGGCTTAAAAATTGAGTAATGTAATACGATACTTCATTTTTGCTGCAACTATAATACACTTTATGTATTATGTTCGTGATCAAAGGGTGTTGGAAATACCTGTTCCAAATTCTTATATTCAATTGTTGCTGTAAACAGTATATGAATATTCATAAAGTCTGTAAAATGAAAAATTGGGCACTTGGAGTTGCCAAAGTTACATTTGTTTGTCGAAGTGTTGCCAAAGAAGGAATAAACTATTACTGCGAAGAAACATATGGGTATTTCCCTTCTGCTATCGAGCAACCTACGCAGTTGTTTATAGAATCGTGCAACATGCTCTTTCTTTCTTATTTTTCATTTACTTTTTGTATTATGACTGTTCCGACAGCCCATAAATTATCATTATGTTGTGACTGTCGTCTCAACAGGCCACATTTAGCATACAATTCTAACGGATCTCACCGCCTACTCTTATTTATGACTGCCATCCCGGCAGGCCACAAAAATTATGCGTCGCTCTAACGCGGGTAGGGTAGGAGTGATCGATATAACCAGACGAAAGTCGGGTTCGCATTATTTTTCCACTTACTAAATATACTAGATACAGTATTTGATCCGTGTCCTGACAAAATGCTATCTGGTATGATCATAGCGGAGTTTGATGCATGAAATTCAACGTGAAAAATCTATTCTATCCGATTTTCTAAAACGGTAAATTTTTTTACAGGGACACCTGGCAAAAATTAACCCGAATGATTATTCTGCCGATTCGATAAGTTATATATTTCGGGAATAATAATAAT